TGTGTGTCTGTTCAGTCCTGAAGCACATGACAGTTTCAAACAGCACCATTGAGCATCAACATGCATAAATCTCATTCTATCAGCAGCAGTTTGTGGCAATGCTTGTCATTATATCTCCTCTCCTGCTCTGAGACCAGAGTCAATAACAAACTACAGACACTTCAACTACAATTCACATTCTGTCATTGTTCTCTACAGGTTGAGTTATTGTGGCGTCACAGATGAAGGTTGTGCTGCTCTGGCTTCAGCTCTGAGATCAAACCCCTCACACATGAGAGAACTGAATCTGACTGGGAATAAACTAGGAAATTCAGTGAATCTGCTCTCTGATGTACTACAAAATCCTCACTGTAAACTGGAGATACTGTGGTAAGATTATATATGACACGCTGTAAAATATTTGTGAAGTGAAAAACAAATCACCCAAAAAAGCCAGAAAACACAGTAAGTCAGACAAAAAGTTAATATTAGGTATTGTTTGTGAATGGAATACTTACTGATTGGATGAGACAACTGTTAATCAAGATACAGAGATACAGAAAGTAAAACATTGTGTGGCTTTGTTTCTTGTTCATGTGTGGACTTCTGTGTTCATGTTAAAGCTGTTTCTGCATTAGCAACACCTTTAAATTGATTGTCTGTTTACACTAAGTGCTAATAGCCCGTCTTGTTAGCAAAGGCTTGACTGTTAGCAGACAAAATTACTAAAGAAACCAGTCAGATAAGTGGGAGAGTAAGGACAGCGGGCTTCTGAGGTGACCAACCCGAGTACAAATCTGCATTTCTTCTCATTTATTCCATTGTATATGAGCTCAGAGAGGTGTTTATAGTAAAGAAAATATAAGACAATATTCAAAACATGGAAATAAAATGTCTAACATGTATATAATTAAAATGATATGTGGTGTCCTCACGTTGATCAGATGTTCTGGTGAATCAACCACATGCAGCTCATATTGTTCCCAAACTCAAAAGCGTGAGTCTCTTCCTGCAGCTTCAAGAACAGCTTTACTGATCAGCAGCTTCAGTGTTATTAGGAGCAGGTGTAGGGGGGCTTTAGGAATAGACACAAGGAAGGACACTAGAAGACAGCATCTGTTTATAATGAATAGAATCATATAAAGAATATGTTATTACATATTGTTTTGTAAAGCACTGCAATACATTGAGGTGTAATTAATATATCTCAGTGTAGGTGATCTCAGGTTTTGCTATCCTTGAGTGATGGAGGAGAAACACACACACACACACACCAGTACTCCATACATATTAATACAGATCAAAATAGCACTATAAAGATCAGCTGTGTAATGAATAGTGTGATTAAACAGATTTGTATGAATGTCTTCATAAGACAGACAATTTGTTTAAAAGTACTGACAGCGCAATAAATAAATATTATTTATCTTTCTCGAATGAGACTTTAGATGATTTATGATCATGGTGTTTTTTTTTGCTCTTTGACATTTTAAATCTCAGTCCAGTGATCCATCACACATTGATTTGTACTTTTCTCTTTACTAATGGATTCACTGCTAAACTGATCTGATCTGAGAGAGTGAAGAGTGTGTCATTGTTCTCTACAGGTTGAATTATTGTGGCGTCACAGATGAAGGTTGTGCTGCTCTGGCTTCAGCTCTGAGATCAAACTCCTCACACCTGAGACACCTGGGTCTGTCTTGGAATAAAATAGGAGATTTGGGTGTAAATCGTCTCTGTGCTGGACTGAAACATCCTCACTGTAAACTGGAGATACTACGGTAGGATCATCTCTCTGATAGTCTCATATCTTTGTCCTTTTGATGTAAATTCTGAGACTAAAGCTTGTAAAATAAATGTTCAGTAAACACACTAAATCTCTGAACAAATGACTCTGATGACTGAAGATGAAGTTCATTTAATTAATCTTCATCACATCACATGAGCTGCTGCTCCTGTTTTTGACCCAACAAACATTTACTGGAGCTTCAGTTGCTTCTGCTAGTTTGATTAATACTCCTTCACCTGCTCATCTCTGTGTAAGAGTTTATTTTCCTCTGATTTTCCACTTTTTCTGAAATCCCATGAGCTCATTGTGAGACCAGAGTCAATAACAAACTACAGACACTTGAACTACAGTTCACATTGTGTCATTGTTCTCTACAGGTTAAGTGATTGTGGCGCCACAGATGAAGGTTGTGCTGCTCTGGCTTCAGCTCTGAGATCAAACCCCTCACACCTGAGACACCTGGATCTGTCTGGGAATAAACTAGGAGATTCAGGAGTGCAGTTACTCTCTGATCTGAAAGATGATCCACATTATAAACTGGACACATTATAATATTGTGAGTATATTATTATTTAAATCTTTTAAAATGGCCAAAGTTTAGTATCAGGCCTCATATGTGTGTAATTGGAAAATATAAGATAATAATTCAGCTCCACTTTTGTCTCTGTACTTTAAACTGTTTAATTATCTTATGATCTATGAATATATGAATATTTTCATCTCTTCCCATGTCTCTGTGTGTAAATGATAAAGAGAGAGATGTTGATCATTCACTGTTATTAATCTATGATCAGTTTTTTATTCATATCTCTGGCTGTAATATGAATATACTGTTTTTTTTTCTGAGCTGGATCTGCTGATGTGGATATTGTCTACAATGTAGATCAGATGTCCAATCTGGCCCCCGGGAGGATTTGAACAATAATGTAAAATAATAAATAACACGTTATTTTGAAGTGTATTTGTGATACGAACTGCTCCAAGAATTGGGTTGAAGATCCAAACGCAGCTTTAATAAGGGTAATCCACAATCGTAATCCAAATACCAGGCAAAGGGTCAAACAATCCAAACAACAGAGTCCAAAACACAGGCAAGCTCGCGCTGGTTTCATGTTTAAGTTAGCCTATACAAGATTCAATTTGATTTTTAAAGTCAATTTAATATAGGTAATTTAAGTTGAAATGACCCTAAATGACTAATTTGATTATACTTATAAATTTAAGGCAGCAGCTGAATTTAAGCTTTGAAGTTGAAGTCGGTGGATTTTTTTTGTTTACAGACTCGTCAAGAATATCTGTAATTTAATTAATAGGCTAAACCGCAACTACAATCGTTTTAAAGTAAGAGGAAATCCAAAAAACATTTATTTATTTGTGTTACAACGCGGGTAAAACATATTATATTCTTATTCATTTTGTTAATAAAAGTTCAAAGTTTAATATAAGCGAATTTGTCATTGTACTATTTTATTGTATAGCCTATGTTTTATTAATAATAATAATAATGATCCACAAAATAAGCATTCGTTTTAAAATAAGGGGAAAATCCCAATATACTGTATATATATATATATTTATTTGTTACAACGCGGGTAACCTTCTGTTCATAATGTTTAATACAAGCGACTTTGTCATTGTATTGCTGATGTTGTGTGTGTGTGTGTGTGTGTGTGTGTGTTTATTAAGAGTAGGCTAATATTGAATAAACCTTAACCTAAGATCTAAGGTTAAAGATGAAAATAAGCGCTGCAGATGCGAGAACGCGAGATTATGGCTGCTGCGGTAAACAGCCGCTCTCGCTCTTTCTGGATGAAAATAAGCGCTGCAGGTGCGAGAACGCGAGATTATGGCTGCTGCGGTAAATAGCCGCTCTCGCTCTTTCTGTGCTCTCTCTTTGCAATGGCTGGAGAAATGGTCGTTAATTCTTCATTTGGGCACAGACATGTTACGGGTAATAATATAAATGTGATCAAAAATTCATGGAAACAAATGTTTTAAGTCAGTTTAATAAGTTGACTTTCACAGTCAATTTGATTCAATTTAACTCATGTTTTACTGTTGCTTATTTTCATCGTAGGCTTGGACTACTTTTTCCAATGAATTTTAATGAATATACAAATTAATAAAATTAATTTTATTTATTTTTTGTTACAAAAGTTTGATTTGTTTATTTTAACACCGGATGAGGCTTGATATCGCGCGCGTGTTAGGCCACATTGTCCGCGTCACAAACAAAAAGTGAAAGTAAAAGTTGCATAGAGAGTTGATGTTTCTCCATTTAAACAGCCAGAGTCGATTCTATACGGAATATCAAAGTGTTTCATAGGAAGCTTTATAAAAGCTAAGCCATGATTTTACGTGCAGCTGCTTCATAGAAAGGTGGTGATTCTGTGAATCTGTGTAAGAATAAGGTGAGTGCTGAGAGCTCAGGTCTCTGCTTTACAGGGAACTTCCGCATTCAGATTTCCTCTAAAGGACGTATCATTTCATATGTTTCAACATTTTATTTTACAAGCAAATGAACGTGGTTTCATTGGTGTTTGGTGTTGTCTGTGGTTTATTTTATCATTTGTTTCACTCGACTAACATTGTGTATCTGAGTGAACGCTGCGTCTCATGATCCTGTTTCTCTCCGGATCCGTTCAGCTGAATTATTGTGTTTGTTTGTTATTTCCATTCAGAGTCAGTGGTGGAGATCAGATTCTGTTTCATCATGTATGACACTCAAACATCCAGAGATGAAGATGTTTCTCCAGGATGCAGGTACTTTGAATAAATACTGTATTAAATCACCTTGAATGATGGGAGATGAGAGTCTCCATCGTGTTTTTGTGTCTGGAGGTTTTAAACCTCTTTATAGAGTGTTTTTGATGAAAAATACTTAAAGACCTTAAAAGAAAATGATTATCATCATAAAGGATTAAATCTGTTATATATATCTGTTATAGTCCATTTCATCAGAAGAGATCAGAAGCAGAGTCCAGCTGTGTGTCTATGAGCAGTGATTGGTCTATGGAAAATCCAATTGATTTTAAGAGTGGAGATACAAAGACTGATCTCAGGTACATTTTTATATAAATATTATTACAACATGTCATTTTATATGATCACAATAGTGTTATCTTTATCTTTAAATATCTTTATCTGATATTTTAACATATATGGTGTTACACAGAGAGACACATTTGTGTAAGCACTCAGGTCTATTTAACATCTTTTGTATTAAAATAGTGTAAATGATCCTGAAGTTTTTTAAGTGATTGTTTAAATAATAAATGTAGATGTACTTTGTTAAATATGGTAACTCAAAGGATTCCCTTTAATCTCTCTCTGTTATAGTTCAGTTCATCAGAAGAGATCAGAAGCAGAGTCCAGCTGTGTGTCTATGAGGAGTGACGCTTCTGTGAATCAGCCATTAGATTATAAGAGTGAAGATACAAAGACTGACCTCAGGTCTAATATTTCTGTAAAACATTATTTGATTATGATACAGAATACATAAAAGACACTGTGCTCATTAGCTTATTTAATAATGCAGTATTTTAATTTTACAGGCACGAAGTCCTCAACATGTTTAGATCAAATCTTCTGAAGAAGTTTGCGTGTCTGTGTGAGGGAACAGCTACGCAGGGAAACCCAACACTCCTGAATGAGATCTACACAGAGCTCTACATCACAGAGAGTGAGAGTGGAGAGATCAGTAATGAGCATGAGGTGAGACAGATTGAGACACAATCCAGGAGAGCAGCAACAGAGGACACAGCCATCAAATGCAGTGACATCTTTAGACCTTTACCTGGACAAGACAAAGCCATCAGAACTGTGCTGACAAAGGGAGTCGCTGGCATTGGAAAAACAGTCTCTGTGCAGAAGTTCATCCTAGACTGGGCTGAAGGGAAAGAGAATCAGG